TTTTTTTTTTTTTTTTTTTCTGAACCGCGAAGCCCGTAAAGCTAGTTGCACATGAGAATAGTTGGACAAGTCAGCAACCATTGGAGCCAAGAAACGCATGAATAGATGGACTAGACATTGTTTTCAACTTTTTTTTTTTTTTTTTTTTTTGAAGGGCGACGGCCTTGAGATATCATCATTAAGCTGACCGGCCCCAGGCAATTCAGAAATAGTTGGTTTTGCAACTTCACTCATCAAGTTCCATCATCTGGATTCGAACACGGGTCTGTATTTTCAACAGTTCATGGGTGTACCCACTGAGCATGTTTTCAACTTTTTACTGATTATGTAGGGCACATAGATTGGAAAATGGACGGATAGAAAAGTAGGTAAGAAATGGATGGATGGGTGAATGGAGAAATGGTAATGGATGAGTAGGTGAACGAAAACATGGATGACAAAAAAAAAGAAGACACAAGAAAAGACGAAAAAAAGGAAAATGGATGACGGGGAAAGGAGAAGATGCGTGGGCAAGGGGATATAGATGTTGCAAAAACTGTGCAGAGGGTCCAGCCTGTTGAGGAATCGTCAAAGAACTTCGCAACGAAACTGCTTGTCAGAAACCCCCTCCTCCCACTTGCTCGCTTCCACACCCCCCCTTCGGCCCTGAGCATGCCTGCCGCACGAGCTGACCGTGGAGGATGAGTGGGCGGGCCTTAGCTGGAGGAATGCTGTTAGGTGTAATGTTTGGCTGTTCCCTTCCTCTTTTCTTTGCCTCTTCGCCTTTTGGCTGTGTGCAAGTGGGTCGATATGACACACGGGGGTGGGGGCAGCCGCCGCTCAACCTACATCCACGTGGGCGGCCTTGTACGCAAGAGGTTTTGAACAGGGGGAGTCTTGTAAGGAAGAAGATAAAAATGAATTTATTTCTTCTTTTTTTGCATTTGCGCTCTGATAAATTTGTGACGATATAGGAATTGAGGTAACTCGCGGAGCGCCCATTCTCTCTCTCTTTTTTTTGCAATTTCCTTTCTCACACATACATGCTTGTGGTTGATCGGCACATGGCACTGGATATATGAATGCTTTTTAATGAGTTTCATATGCTTATAGCGATGATGAGTTCTGTTTATGAATATGAAGAGCTTGTGGTTGCGCTTGGAGTCCGTCCAGCAAGCTATGTTCACGTCACTCTTTTTTTTGTAATTATTTACGTAACGTGAGTAGGAGTAATCGTTCAAAATAACTGTTTCATGTAATGGTTCGTGTAATTACTTATTTATGGGGTTATGCGTGTTATGTACATGAGCAAATTGATGTATAACGTGTGCAGAATATCATTGCACCCTTTTCTTAAACCCGTCTCTCCTAAATATGTTACGTATCAAAGCATGCTTGTTCATATACCTAATGTACATGCACTAGATAATTTTGGGCATCACATGATCTCTTTTTTTTTTTTAATTGGCTGTGGATTCTTGGACACACTGTCCACATGTGCTTCACTAAGAAGAGGGTGTGTCGATGGGCAGTTCCCGCTGGACCACACACAAGCCCTGCATGCCCTACTTATCAATTTCTACCTTCATTCTGTATGCCCTACTTGTCAATTTCTCGCAAAGGCGGTGAAATAATCAGTTAGTTCGCGAGTATATGTAGATACCTGTGTAGCGGGTGTTGATAGGTTAAGATGCTTCTAATGTTCCCTAATTGGGTAACTGATTGCAGGGTCACGTGGGAAGGATGAGGCATGTTTTTTTTTTTTTTTTTTTTTTGTGTGTGTGTGTGTTGTCGTGTTTGATATATACAACTCCACTAAGAAAGCATGACCGTGTGTGTGTATGTATTAGTCAGAGGAGAAGGGGGCTGGGGTTATGGATGACCAATTGGTTTCTGGAGAGAAGCAGGGGTAGGGGGAGATGGTACTGCAGGATGTCTTTCTCACATAGAATGTACTCCTGCAGGGGTAGGGGAGCTAGGGCAGTGGAGAAAACTGCTACGATGTCTTTCTCACAGAGTGTACTAGGTCGTAAACTACTGTAGTGTACCAAGGTCAACCCCTTTGATCAATTATGAAATGGTTATACTAGGTCCTAAACTACCTACATTGAGTTCAACACCTATCATTAATGATGAAATGGTGATGACAAGTTCTTCTAAATGATGTTGTATAGATTCTGTAGCCTATCTCGATGGATATATTTCCGGAGTACGGTTCTGCATGAGCATGTGCAAATGTCTATGGCCTCTAGGCTGACTAGACCCTCGGGGTTCTGTCAAAGCGCTTCTCTTGTTCTGTTTGCTAGGTGAAGTTTGTCTTAGGCCCACACTCAACAACTCGCCCAATGGTGAAAAGGGCAAAGCAATGGCGACTGTATCTTTCTGCCATTGGGATATAGAACAGTGAGAAGTGTTAGCTTTTGATAAAGTGAAAGCCATATTAAAAACATGGTATCAGCCTGAGTGAACCCTGCGTTAGTGGGAATATGAAGTATTGAAGACTGGCCTTGGGAGAGGAGTGCAAATGTGTGGTTTTGCAAGATGTTGTGCTCGACTTTTTGCCGATTATCATCCTGTTCGTGGGGGCAACCTCGAGAGTTAATAATCACCTGCTGCCTTTGGATTTCCTCGCTTTGCTCAGCATTCATTTGTGAGTTGAGAGTAAAAGAAAGAAGAAGAAGACCAAGAAGAAGAGGAGACGAAGAAGGAGAAATTGAAGGAGAAAAAGGAGAAAGGAAGAAGGAGAAGGAGAAAAAGGAGAAGAAGGAGAAGAAGATGGTGCAGCTAATATACACACTTGGGGTATTGTTTAGGCGTTTTGCAAATCAATGTTAGAACTCCTGATCAATGAGTTTGGCCTTGGCAATTGGACATGGGTCCCCCTCCAGCCTCTCTACCTCTGTAAGCTCCTCCAAATTTCTGTGCCCTGTATGCTACTGCCGCGGGGTCTCTGGGGTCTGATGCCGTGGCAATTGCTCAACCTTAAGAGGGCGTTACCGGCCTCATATGCCTGAATCTGCTCCACATCTGCAACTGTTACTTGGTGTTCATTCATGCTTGTGACCGCGGAGAATCGTGTGATGGTGGCGATAAGTTCAGGACCATACACTGTGTAGAGCTTTCTCTAGATCCAAAAGGGGGATATGAATTTAGCGGGGATATGAATTTAGTGCCTGTATTCTAACCTAAAGTTTGGATACTGGATAACATCTCTCCTGTCCCCTTTTTCGCCCCTTCCCTCTGTTCCCCCTTCTCTCCTCCCTATCCCCACCGGGGTAGTCTCTTCCCCCCTTTGTGCTTTCCCTTAGGCTGTTCACTTAAATCTTGTTTAGCTGATGTTCCCTTGGTCCGGCTGATGCAATTCTACCTTAAATCCTCTTTCCACCTGGCACCCTGCCGAACGTAGTCTGTTGGGGAAAATTATGTTGTTGCTAGGCAGGAAGTGGCTGCCTTAACAGGTTGGGAGTATCTTTGGCGGTTGGGGGCGTGCGGTGTTCAATCTCTATTCATGATGTTTGATGTCCGAGAAGAGTTGAAAGGCAACTTGATCCTCCAGTGCATTTTCATGTGCTCAGTGAATGCGGGGATAGAAGAATATGCATTGTGAACGTAAGTGCATTGCAGAACGCGTTTGCAAACTAATGAATGCCCCTGGCAAATTGTGGCATACTGATACCACACGGGCCCCAGTTAGGGCCCGGTTCTGTAGTAGGCACGGCTTAGGCCTAGTGACCGGGTCACGACGGTCCCAGTTAGGTCCAGGTAGGCCTAGGAACCGTCGGTTCAGACCAAGGTCCGGTAGGCCTCGTTTAGACCCCACCAGACCCAACGGCTAGTTAGGCCAGATACCGGTCCATCGGTAGGACCGGCCGGCGGTGCAGTTTAGGCGCCACTCTTCAGATTCAAAATCGGATCTGAATCGTTGGGCCTGATCAACGGTCCAGACCCGAAGGCCCTCAGTAGGACTGAGGCCGATCCAGCAGTATATCTGCTGGGTACCAGCCTCAGTCGGTAGGTTGGTAGACAGGAGGTTAGTCTACGCGTTAGTCTTCAGGATTAGCGGAGCGCTTCAGCGTTAGCAGGATTAACGCAGCGTTTCAGCGCTAGCAGGAGCAGCGAGGAGAGAACGAGCACAGCGGCAAGGAGGAATTAGCGCAGCAGCTGGAGCAGCGCCAGCCACCGGCCCAGCCCGCGGCCCAGCTCCAGCCTTACAGCGCCATAGCTACCGCATCAGGTATCCGGGAGGAAGGTCACACCTTTCCTCCCTCCTCTTTTTCCTCCGCCTCTCTCTCTCTCTCTCCCCTCCTACCCTCTAGGTAGTCTAGTCTACTGGACCACTCTGAGTATGAAGGATGGTGACGAGTTCTGATGGCAGTTGAGATAGTAGCATTGAGACATCGGTTTTAGGACTACTTCGGGATCCGACTTCATCTACTTCTGAAGGTGTATCTGGATATTTGGAGATCGACATCTGGGACACAGACTTTGTATTCATGACATTCCGGATTTGCACTACATATGACATTCGAGATACTATTTTTGGATCCATGGTTTTGACGTCATTTCCCTCTCCTCCTTTCGTCTTCCCCTCTCCCTCCATTCGTCCGTGTATGATCTCAGACCCTGGCCTGTTCTTCCGTGTCCAAGGCCAGGGCTTTCACACCAGTGATGCATGTTGAGAGTGTGTCGTTGCAGTCTGAGTCAGGTCAGAGTCAGTCCATGTGTATCAAGTCTCCCGCTGTATTTGTATTAACTCTGTATTATCTGGTCGGTTCTGGGAATCTGAGCCATACTTATGACTGTGTTGCACGAGTTTGCAACACAAATGCAGGGCGTGGAAGCCATAATTATCTAGATAACTCCGGCAAATTGATTTTGGCTTGTGGAGGGCTTGTGTTAAGAAGGGGTATGGAAGAATATGGGAAGGATTTCACTTCGGATGGGCGGGTGATCTTGGGATGAATCTAAGATTTGTTTGTGATTGTCGATCCTTGGCGGTTGTCGTCATCGACTGTTTTCAGCGTCTTGGTGCAGGGGAGTGGTTTACGGCCCGTGTTTCTAGCTGCGGCCTCTTCTATGTAGGTTATCCTAGTGCAACTGATCTTCTTCGTGCAGATCTGAGAGCGCTTTATGGGCAACTGTGCCACGATGACATGCCCATGGTGAGACGAGCTGCAGCGATGAATTTGGGCAAGTTTGCCGCAACAATTGATGAACCACAGTACATCAAGACGGAGATTTTAACATTCTTTAAGGATCTTACTCAGGATGGTAAGTCCTTCCTCGCCACTTCTTCCTCATTTCTCAGCCTTATTCGAGTGTCCCTCGTTGATTGGTCCTTTCCCTGGTGGGCTTTCCATAGTGCCATTTTGGTTGGAGATCTGCTTGGACGGTGTGTGCTATAATTAACTCATAGAGCTGTATGGAAACGGTGATCTCCAACAGGAGTGTTTTTTTGTTTCCCAGGATTTTCTTTATTTTTTTTCCCCCATCTGGTTCCCATGCGAGGAATGTGCCCTCACGGGGCCCTAGCCAACATACACATGATATGGGCTGTGGCCCCCAGCAAGCATTGTGCCCGCCCTAAGTGAAGGCGGGCCTGAATATCCAGGAGAGGCCCTTATCTCAGCATTTTCCAATGTGGGTATCAGACAGCTGCAGCACACTCGTTGGTTGAAGTGCAACGTGAGCCTCTCCCTGGGCTCCTTCCAGAGACAGCAGCTGTGTCCAGAAGTTGAGCCCAGGGCCGGGTGGTTGTGCCCTGGGGACACGCAGGTCGACACATCACGGAGTGGCCACGGGCGAATCAGAAAGCAGCATTATCGTCACAGAGGCCCAGTGAGCCAATGAGAAGACGGCAAACACTTGGAGCCTGAAGGCTGCCTGGACGTGCCAAACCAGAAAGGGCACCCAACTGTCGGCCAGGGCCTGGACGCAGACACTGGGGCCCGACCGGAAGCTATTGGGAGCTTCCTCAGCCAGGTCCACGCAGCCAAACAGGGTTGTGACTTTCATATAGGAGGTCGCTGGCCGGGGGAGGGCATTCTGGCCTAGGCAGGCAATGCGGACACGCTGCTGCGTTGCTGCGAAAGTGTCTGCATGTGCGCTGCTGGCTGGGGCTCACGCGGGCCCTATGAGGTGATAGGGGTGCTGCAGGGCAGCGGGTGGACAGCAGCCATAGCCGGGCTTCAGGGCCGCATGAGGGTGATGGGTGAAGGTGGTCTTCGGGTAGGAGGCGCATGAGTGGGTGGTCAAGGTCTGATGAGGGGAGGAGAGAGAACGTACCTGGTGTATGTGGGAGGTCGGCATTGGTGTTGACGTCATGTGCATTGGTCTTCAACGTCGGAGTGATCCTGTTGCATGAATATAGATAGGCTAGATAGGCTCAGTAGAGTAGGCTGGGCTTTGGGCGCCAGACAGAGATGAGCGACATTGATTATGGTGTTGGTGGGCCCTGAGGGCGATAACATTGGCACACGAGTTCACTGCTTTGCTCTTATTTGGATGGAATCTTGGTGCATTTGAGCTCTCTGCTTGGTACACGACCATCTGGACATCTTTGTGATTTTGCAACTTGTTTTTCTGTCTATCGCTCTCGCTTGTATTCCTTGGACCCATCTGGTTTTGAACCTGGATCTGTATTTCAACAGTTCATGCGTGTACCAACTGAGCTAAGCTCAGGAGTTTCTTGATGATGCAATGTCAGAGATGAACAACAGGAGTTAGTCCTGGAACTCAAAGAAAATTCAACAGTCCATTCAATGTGAGTCTTTCATTCCCTAATGCTTATTGTTCTATACATGTAAAGTGTGAACTTTATGGATGGAGCTACCTTCTTCCCCCGAATACAATGTACGGTCATTATAGCTGTATTTGAAAATACCCCAAACACAGCTATAATTACCTTACGTTGTATTGTCCCCGACTACTTGGGGTATTGTCCCCAGCTACCAGTGAATTGATGGTGTAGCTGCGGAACTGCATGCATGCCGATGCTGAAGTATGTTAGTGGCAGCTTGCGCGTGTATGGTCGTTCTTATGTCTGCGGACATTAGTCTGCATTTGGGCTGTGGATCATATCAGGTCTAGTTTGCACAATCGGAAAGTCTGAGTGTCCGGCCTATAGCCTGAAATACAACACTGGAGAAAAACAGTTGTTGCTAGAAGCATGCAGCTGAAGAGAAGGGCACTGTAGGAGGAGAGGAAGTAGTGAGGAAAGCACAACCGAATCGGGTCTAGTTTGCACAATCGGAAAGTCTGAGAGTCTGGGCTATATAGCCTGAAATACAATACTGGAGAAACACAGTTCTTGCTAGAAGCATGCAGCTGAAGAGAAGGGCACTGTAGGATGTGAGGAAGCAGTGAGGAAAACACAACCGAATGGTCCCCTTCGCCCCGTTTCTTCCCTACTTTCCTCCTCTGCGATTTACATGGTCAGCACTACGCACTGTGACGAATGCTTCGTGATGGCAGTTCTTTGAAACCCCGTGGCAGTTCTCTCCATGCTGTCCAGATATCTGCATATGTGTTCTTGACATGGCAATGATGCGGACACACTATCCATTTATGAGTGGACATGCAGACACATGTGATGTAATGCGCATTTCCAACCCCAGGGGAGAGGTGTCATGGCAGGTAGTAAGGGCTGAGGAGGGTTGGATGTCCTGGAAAGGAAGGGGGGGGGGGGTTGAGGAGATGCGCAGGGGGGGGTTCCTTCCTCAGAGGAGGAGAGATGGGTATGAAGCGGGATAGGGAAGGAGAACCTTTCTTAATGTTCGGCGGCTGTGCAATCTGTGGACCGGATGCAGATGCAGACGCTGGTTCGCAGACTGGATATATCCGTCACTAGTACGGTTTTGAAGAATTTCCAATGCAATCTTGCTCATCTCCCCTTCTTTGTCTGATTAAGTGCCCCCTCCTTGATCTCGTCCAATACTAATTGACAGCTCACGACTGTGTGTGTGGCTCCTGGCATGTCCTGTGTATATTCTCACAGATCAAGATTCTGTTCGTCTATTAGCAGTGGAGGGATGTGCTGCAATTGGAAAGCTGCTTGACAGGCAGGATTGCGTTGCGCATGTTTTGCCGGTTATTGTGGCTTTTTCGCAGGTTTGTCCTCTTTTCTTTGTGCAGTCCTTCGAGGTGCATGTGCTATGTCCAATTCCCCATAAAGAAAGCCGGGAACAGGCATTGTTGATAACTGTTGTCTTCCCTGTTTTGGGGCGTGCAGCTCATCTGGGCTTGATCTCCAATCCACCATGAAGAGAGGCGGAAACAGGCTTTGACTGTTGTCTTCCCTCCTGTGACCTTATCCCTGATCTCGCCCTCTTTTTCTTCTGTGCTGTTAATTTGGGCTTTAGTTTCCTTTTATCCCCATCTCCGCCATTGCAGTCAATGCAGGGTTCAATTGGGCTTGATCTCCTTTTCCATATGAGGTGGTCATGTGTATTTTACTATTTTTTTGATGGAAGGAGTGAGGAGCGAAGGATTAGGGAGGAAATTGCTGCACCTGTTTCGTGTGTCTCTGTGTGTGTGTGTGTGTGTGTGTGTGTGTGTGTGTGTGTGTGTGTGTGTGAGAGAGAGAGAGAGAGAGAGAGGTCCGGGACAGAGGCAGAGTTTCAGGTTGCCTTCCTTGTTCTATGTGCCTTGGGTGGTGTGTTGCTGGAATGAACACTAAGGAATATTTCAGGGCTTGGGACCTAGAGTTTCTTTCTAGGAAAAGTTTGAGTGATACGGAGGCATTATCTGTGGGCCTTGACCATTGATGGGAAGTTCATTGCTGAAGTGACCACCATGCCATTTGATAGCCGTGATGCTAACACGAGCGATGCGGGTGTGCATTTCGAACCTTGTTTGTGTTTGATGGATGACAGGATAAGTCCTGGCGCGTGAGGTTCAATGTGGCAAACCAGTTGTATGAGCTCTGTGAAGCAATTGGTTCGGAGCTGGCGAGGTTAGTCAGAGACTGATTCTGTTCTCTATGTGACGTCTCTATGGACATGAATGCATGTTATGCTTTCTCATGGCCCTTGTCGTTCGTGAGATTGCCTGGTTGGGTGGCCACCTTTGGAACACACATTTCATACGAGAAGGTTTCGTAGCAGGCTCTTGTGATTTATGCCCTTGAACGTGTGATTGTGGGTCCCTCTCCGACTCCCTCTGCACCTTTAAACCTCTTCCCTCACCAGCACCAAACTTTCTCTTCCTCTGCGCTGTGTATGTGGATGGCATGAAAACCAAAGACTCCAAGAGTCAGCTGACCGAACAGATGTTTGCGTGACACATTCATTTGGATCAGCGATGCACATCAGGGCGTAGTAAATTCTGTGCCAAGTGTGTTTTGTACCATATGGCCTTATGATTGTAATGTGGCATTGCTAAACCTATTCTCCCTGTACACAACCCCCCCCCCCCCCCCC